CATATACCACACTAATACAAGATGTTAATAACTGGGGACAAAGTGGGGTGTGGATATATGGAACTCTCTGAACTCCATGCTCAATTTTTCTGTAAGTCTAAACTGTACTGAAAAATAAAGACTATTCACGAAATGGTATATGATCCCATTTTTGTGATTACATGTTTATGTGCATAAAAATAAGTCTGAGCTCTGGCTGGTATTGCTCAGTGGTTAGAACTTTGGCCCATGCACAGAAGGGTCTCGGGCTCTCCCAGTCAAAGGCATGTACCTGGGCTGCAGGTTCAATCCCCAGGCCCTGATCTAGGTGCACGTGGGAGGCACTCACTCAACCAATGTGTCTCTTTCACATTGATGTTTCTCTTTCTTTCTCTCTACTCCCATCTCTCCCCACCCCTTCCACCCTCTCTAAAAAAAAAAAAAAAAAAAAAAAATGGAAAAAATATCCTGGGGTGAGGATTAACAAATAAATAAGCCTGAAAAGTCATAATTAAAAGTTATCTTTAAAAATCTTTACTTATCTTACTACCTGTATTACTTAGCCAAAGAAAAATATAGAAATAAGAGGAAGGAGACTTAATGAAAAATATTAGGTTTGGTTAGAATGCATCCACTAAAGAGTAAAGCTATTAAATACTGCTAAGCATGGTTATTCCAAGTACAGACTTATCTGATGACAACCCCATTAACTAATGGCACTTGAAAAGTGACCCCATTTTTTGAACAGCATTCATTCTTTTTTCGGTGTAACAACTTTATCACTCCAAACATTCTAAATTTATAGATTATGCCCTGGCCGGTTTGGCTCAGCGGTTGGAGCATCGGCCTGCGGTACAGAGAGACCCGGGTTCGGTTCCCGCTAAGGGCATGTACCTCGGTTGCAGTTTGTCTCCGGCCCTGGTTGGTCGTGAGGGTGGCAACCACTCGATGTGTCCCTTCACATCGATGTTTCTCTCTCTCTCTCTCTCTTCCTCTCTCTCCCTCCTGCTCTAACTGAACAAAAAATGGAAAAATGTCCTCGGGTGAGGATAAAAAAAATAAAAATAAAAAAAATAAGTAAATTTATAGATTATAAGGAGAGGCATTTGGACATTATAGTTTTAGGCAGACACTCCAACTTAACAGACACAAGTTTCTAGTCAAGGGAGTATGATATGGAACATATTCGAATTGTGTGCCATATTTGGATGAACAGATGTTCTGGATTTCTATAGTATCCCAAATGAGGTATGAATCTTGTGATTCTTCATGCTGTGCTCATGCCCTAATTTCCTGTTCTGAAGCCCTCTCATGTTTAGCCTTCATTTAGTTCTAAAGATGTCAATCTATGCTACAACTTTATTTTTTAAGTACAGTTTGAGTTCAGAATAACTATGAGCTAATCTGAACTCTCTTTAGCTATAGATGGCTCTATCCACTGAATATACATATTTGCAAATGAAAAGATAAAGTTCTGAATCAGTTCTGTTCTGGAGAATTGCATCATGTCCTGAGAAACATTTAGATTATTTGGGAAACTAGCAATGTATCAAATACAGTGGATGGAAAAATCACAGATTGTGGATTACCATTATCTACTATGATTATACAGAATTGTTAGGAAAGCTAAAGAAGGCAGTGTGAAGGGAGTCAGTAAGGTTTCTAGATGAGTGATTTATCAAAGAATTTTAAGGAGCATATAAATGCTGTAAAATATAAAAATTAAGAAAGCAGCACCAGCTAATTCTTAAGGAAAAATTTATGAAGTGTGTCTAATTCTACTATTGAATGCCTGTGTGAAGGTCCATCACCTGCCCCTCGACCAAAAAATGACTCTCACTTTTCTTCACCATTGCCCATGATCAAGTCTTCTTTGACAAGTCCAATAAATCTTCTTACATTATATTTTATGTAGAAACTAGTTATAAACTCATTTTCATTTGATACACCTGTATCCACACCAGCATGTCTCCCACTGCTCTCAGCTCTTTACAAATACTGACTCATTTATTCTTCATACTAACCCATTAATTGTGGAGTAATCATTATTACCATTCAACAGATAAGGAAATGGTATGGACACAGACACTGAGTAACTTGTCCAAGGTCACACAGCCAAGTGAGTGGCAGTCAGGATTTAAACCCCAGCAGACTGACTCCAGTCCAACTTATACACTCTGCTGCCTCACATTTTCTACATTTACAAGGAAATATCTGCTCTCCTGGTTTCAGATGGTGATCTTCCTTTTCTCTTCTGAAATACCACCTCTCTTCCTTTTCAATGTATATAGTTAAATTTATGGTCATTGGTCTCCCATTATAAAACAGTTCCATTTTAGAGAATGTGGAACACTACGAAACAGAGATGTATTTCCCCTAATTTGAGACAGAAAAAATGGAGACTCTTTCCTTCCAATTTCTTAAATGCTATTTTTTTTTTTAAAACTTAGTTTCTGAAAACTTAGGGTACTTTTGGATCCCCATAATTAATTAATTTCATCACGATTTTAATTAAGCCTCATGTTTAATGTTAGCACACAAACCTCTCCACAGCAAAAACTGTAATAACACACTGCACATTTAAAAGCTTCCAATAACCAAAACAGAACCAAGGAAATGCCCCTTCATGGTTCTGTTAAAGCAAAAGTATTTTTCTACCTTTCCAAATTAATTCTGTGGAGTGTGAAACATTAAAATGGTTTTCATTTTTTAATTTAAAAGGCAATTATAATGAATGGGAAGGGAAAGGGCAGAACAGGCAGAAGAGACATCAGGCCTCAGAATGATGGAAAATGTGAAAAGAGGACAGAACATGCCTTCCAGGTTTTGACGAATATTCACAACCTACCAATTTAAAACCAGCATTCCAAAGGGAGGTCAGGACTATGACCTTTATTTGATGTTTGAGCTTCCAATTTAGATCCCTAGCATTAGTTGTCTCAGATTGACAGAGCTTTTATTTAAAAACAATTCTTTATTAAAAGATCTTCAAATTGCCCGGCCCGCGTGGCTCAGTGGTTGAATGTCGACCCAAGAGATCACCAGTTCAATTGCTGGTCAGGGTGCATGCCCAGGTTGTGGGCCCGATGCCCAGTGGGGGACAGGCAGGAGGCAGCCAATCGATGTTCTCTCTCCCTCTCTAAAATCAATAAGAAAAAAAAAAGATTTTAAATTGTCTTACAGGGTTTGAAAAAAGTTATTTCTACAGTTTTATGTAAAATATTTTGTCCTTAATTCAGGAACTCTTTACATTTTTAAAAGATCAACTTGGATACCATTTAAGGTTCTAAAAATACTAACAGGTAACATTAATACATATTAAGATGGGAAGCAAGGAAGGAGAGCTGGTGTTTGCTGAGCACCACTGCATGCTAGGAACTGTCCCTCAAAGCTCACTAAGACCATGTCTATTTGTTTGCCACCACATTTTAGCAACTTAATGCAGATCAGGCACCTAACACATGTGTGCTGAGTGATTAGCAAATGGTGAGAATTCAACAAAGGTGACTTCCTAATTTCCATGAACATTCTTCTTCAATATCAGAAGGAAAAAAACTGACTTCCAAGGCAAATCCACCAATATTTTTATGTAGGTATTTGGCAGCACATTAAATTACTTCATTACCCTGAAAATCTTGTCTATTGTTATAAACTCTATGCTTAATGAAAACCATACCCGTTTCAATTAATGCTTTATAGTCCCTTCACATAAACTAGGATCAAAAACCTATTTTAGTGCTATAGCTTCTTAGAATTCTCCCTTACTGTAAACCCAGGAAATCGGTACACACAGCCAGTAACTAAAATCTCCTTAGCACTGTCTGAAATTCTCCCAGACTGTCTAGCATCAAGACGTTTCATCCTATTATATGGTCCCACCACAAGCCAACGTTTATCTGTCTATTGCTAGGCCTTCTACTGTGCAATTGTTTTTCAGGAACCAATGTTTAAAATCCTTAAAAACTGCACAGCAGTTACTGAAACCTATCTCCTCCTCCTCCTCCTCCTCCTCCTCCTCTCAGGACCTTGGGACAATTTCATGACCTTGCAGGGTTACTGCTTCAGCATAAAGGTTTCAAGATGGTGCAAGGTGTCTTTCTCTTCCTCTCGGACAGATTTTTAAGGTTCCTTTTGCACCCAAACTACCATCGGCCTACGAGGGCACTTACTTGATTCACTAATGCCCAACAAAGCGCCTGCTACAAGGTAGGTGCTTAATAAACGTTCTGCCTGAATCGAACAGCTCTTAAATGGTTACTCCGCTCTACAATGGCCATTCAAACTCTGTCCAACACTGGGAGGTTTCAAAAGGCGTCAAGGACATACAGCACAACTTAACCTTCCCCTAGACCTTGCCTTGAGCCCTCCCCTCCCCCTCACTCTGTGGGCCCAGGTAAAGACTGCACGACCCTCACTGCCTGCACAGAGCAGGAGCTCTGCAAGTACTTCGTAGCTGAATGAATACAAGACCGCCCTGAAATTAACTCGGACTAAGGTCTCAATCCCGAGGTCCAAGAAGCCAACTCCTCGTGGCCCTCACTCCGCCCCATCCCGCCTCTGGAGACGTGGCGTGACCTTGCGGTCTCTCCAGCCCCTTCGCGTGCCCTTCTCGGATCGAAGGAGCTTCCTGCAGCCCCGGCCATCCGGGGCCTCCAGGCCCCGGGGGCCCGGCTGGCCCTGCGACCCCTGTTCATCCCACTCTCCTCCACCCGCTCCCCCGTAATCGAGCTCTTCCAACCCTTGCAACCTCCGGGTTCCTACCGCAAGCTGCCGTACCATTGCGGCTGCACAGCCCAGGCCGAGACCCCAACGACGCCCGCCCGAGAAAACATGGTGGTACTGGCCCTGCTGAAGGTCGGTCAGACAGGCCTCCACGCGCATGTGCAGGAGCTTCCCCACGCCCCCTCCCGCCCCGCTTTCTTCTTCAGTCTCGCGTCCTGACGCCAAACGGAAGTAAACCTCGCGAGCATTGGGGGCCTAGCCTTCCGAAGCTCCGCCTTTTCCCGGACGTATTTTTTTCTGCTCACCACTGTCAGCCCAGTTCCATTTCCCGCTGGCAGAGCGCCGAGCTCCGGAGAGTTATCGCTGCGGTGGTCGCGATGGGAAAGTCAGATTTTCTTACCCCCAAGGCCATCGCCAACAGGATCAAATCCAAGGGACTTCAGAAGCTGCGCTGGTATTGCCAGATGTGCCAGAAGCAGTGCCGGGACGAGGTAAGCAGGCCAGGGATGGCCCCATGCCCCGTCCTCTCTCATGGCCAGTTCAGGGGGGAAATCCGGTCTCCAGTCCCTGATACTGAGGATAAAGGCTGGATCTCGGCGGGGGGTGGGGGTGGGGGGTGTACACTGGGCGAGTCAGCTGGTCAACACAGTAGGGACCCTTTCTTGCAGTCCTAAGAAAAAGGCATCTTTGACGCCTCTTTCCTCCCAATCTGCCCCCAAAAGAAATGCGAAATAAGAAAAGGGTTTGCAGCCCTGGGTGGTTTTGCTCAGCGGTTAGAGCGTAGGCCCCCGGACCAATGAGTCGCAGGTTCGATTCTGGTCAAGGGCACGTTCCTTCTGTTGCTGTTCGTCCCCAGCCCTGGTCGGGTCGTGCGGGAGGCAGCCAGTCGATGTGTCTCTCACACTTTGATGTTTCTCTCTTAAAAAAGAAGAAAAGATTTTGCAGCTCTGGTAGAAGTGATCCCACTCAAGCTGTCGTAAAACAATTAAATGCCAGGCGCCTAGACAATAACAATAACAGTCATCTCTGACTTGACCTGACTCTTAAGAGAAACAGAATGATTAGGATTCACACCTCTTTTCAGTATCAGATGAAAAAAAAGAAATAAGTTCTTGCACACTACTCATCTACCAGTAATTTACTGAGCAGCGACAATGTGCTAGGGCCCGGATATTTTTATGGTTATGATGTGGACTGGAGTCAGACTGTCCGAATGTGAAACCTAGCAGCACCGCTTACTGCTGTGTGGTCTTGGGCAAGTTATTTACATTCTCTCTGCCTGTTTACTTATCTGTAAAGTGGGAACAGTAACTGTACCTACTTGTAAGATAGTTGTGAATTTTAAATGAGTGAAATATGCGTAAAGTGACTCGGGGTCTTTGGGCAGATCTTGAAAAGCTTTGTGTGCAGTGCTGTGGAGTTTATACTTTCTTTGTTAATGAGATGAATGATGAATTGCCTTGAAGAATTGAGAGCAGGGTAGTGATATAATCATATTTTTCTCTGGAGATTGAATTGGGTAGGACGGAAGAACACTGGAATACTCTAATCCACTGTTTCTGCCAGTAAGGGATGAGATATTTTAGGTGGGACTCACACTGAATAACGTTGATACTGTTGTTTGTTTTCATTTCTGTTTAGTTCTTTGTATTTAAGTCCAGTTGAAATTCTCACGCAAAACTAGAGAGAGACTAGTACATTGGACATCCATATATCCATTACCCAGATTTAACATTTTAAGTACTATGTCATATTTACTTTTTTCTGAAATATTTTAAGGTGATTTACAAACCTCAGGGTATTTCACCTCTAAATACTTAAATATGCATTTCCAAAACATCAGGATATTTTTTCACAGAACTACAATATATGTCATTACACATAACAAAATTAATAAAAATTCCTTTATGGCTTCTGATACACACTCGATACATTTCCTCAATTGTTCACCCAAATGGTTTTTAAAAACAATAAAAAAAAAAAAACAAAACAAGATCCAATCAAAAGCTATGAATTGGATTTGGTTATTAGGGCTTTAAAAAAATAAACTTTATATTTTGAGCAGTTTTACATTGACATTTCATTATGATCAAAATCCATAGTTTACATTAGTGTTCATTCTTGTTGTTGTACATTCTATGGGTTTGGACAAATGTCTAGTGACATGTATCCACCATTATGGTATCACACAGAATAGTTCCACTGCCCTAAAAATCTCTGTGCTCTAGGTTATTAGGACTTTTAATTTTCTCTAAATTCTACAATAGAACCCACTTCCTCCACCCATTCCTTCCACTACTTCCCAACTTTTTTTCTTGCCATTGACTTGAAGAGACTAGGTCAGTCAGTTATCAAAACAGTCCCACTTTCTGGATATGTTTCATTGTTTCCTTATAATTGTCCTTTGCCTCCTTTCTCTAACTCTTGTAGTTGTTAATATCTAAAGACTTGATTAAGTTCAGGTGAAACATTTTGGGATGAATACTTTATAAGTGATCCAGTGTATTTCATATTGCATCACCTAAGGAAGCCCATATATCTAGTAGTGCTAAGATGATTAAGTAAAGATGACAGCCTGTAAGGTAATAAGGTAATGTTAGAAAATAGTATTTTCCTTCTTGCAAGAACACACGACTTGTAGGCTGATACTTTGGAATCATGACCATATACCTAGTTTTACATCAGCCTTTCACCAGTGTGTTTTAACATCCTTACCTGAGTTAATTCCTGCTTGTGTTATTGGCTGCTATTCATTTGTAAAAATATATATATATAAGCTTTTTTTTATCTTCACCCGAGGATATTTTTCCATTTTTTGTTCAGATAGAGTGGGAGGGAGAGAGAGAGAAAAACATCAACGTGAAAGGGACACATCGAGTGGCTGCCACCCACACAACCCAAACAGGGCCGGGGACAAACTGCAACCGAGGTACATGCCCTTAGTGGAAACCGAACCTGGGTCTCTCTGGACCGCAGGCGGACGCTCTAACCGCTGAGCCAAACTGGCCAGGGCAAAAATGAGCTTTTTCTCATCAGCTAGGGCTATTGAGTTACCCCCAAATGTTATCCTAAAATATAGTTCCAATGGGAAAGGGAAAGCAAATGCTTAATTTTTTTCTTTAAGGCATTTATGGTGGTTCTGGTCTGTTTGCCCCAAGATCTGTTTATTTCCCTTCCCTACCTGGGAGGAGAAGTTGATCCCAATAAGTTTCCACTTCTGTCTTCTGTCTCTCAATTTTGGAAGATTGAGGGGGAAGAAGGTCAGGTCTAGAGTATTCTACTCCTGCCCATCCACTCTCTTGGGTTTCTAGGTTTTAAAAACATTATTTTTATTTTATTCACTTATTTTTAGTTTATGGAAAATGGGACTGGTTTTTCATTTATGAGATGGATACCAAGTTTCTTTTTAAGATACATTTAAGTAAGAGTAATGCATGGGTAGTACACAGATGAGCAAGAATTGTGTAGACGGTCTATGGATGACTAAAGATTAGGAAACTACCCTAATTAAGATCCAGTGTTGAAATCAAGACAGTGGCAGTGGGATTGGGCAGAGGACTGGATAAGACTTATTAAGAAAGCTGTGTAGGCTCAGTGATAAATGGAGTGTAGGATGGAAGAGAAGGACACTAGGGTGCCAGACTTGGTCTTGGCCTGGGTGATTGGGAGTGTGTACAGTGCTATTCACTAAGATGGGGGATACAGGAGGAGAGACACATTTTTCATTTCTATTACTACTGAAGGATCAGTTTAAATACTACGTAGAACATATACAAAGTCAGATGTTTTTATAATCACCTGACAAGGTATAGATTTAATATGTTTAACATAAGGTTTATGTAATATGCAAAAATGTATTTTGGATAGCCCTGGCCGGTTTGGCTCAGCGGTTAGAGCGTCGGCCTGTGGTCCGGAGAGACCCGGGTTCGGTTCCCGCTAAGGGCACGTACTTTGGTTGCAGTTTGTCCCCGGCCCTGGTTGGTTGTGCGGGTGGCAGCCACTCGATGTGTCCCTTCACGTCGATGTTTCTCTCTCTCCCTTCCTCTCCCTCCCTCCCACTCTATCTGTACAAAAAATGGAAAAATGTCCTCGGGTGAGGATAAAAAAAAAAAATGTATTTTGGATAATAGAGAAAAGTGAGTGAAAAATAGTGTCTTTAGCGACCCATTTTATTTCATTATATTCCTCAAAGTGCTTGTATAACACTCTGAAGTTGGTGCTCAACAGAAATTTGTTAAATTGAGTAAAAAAAAACCCACTGAAATCACTCATGTTAGTGTTCGCAGTAATGTTTCTCACTAATGTCTGTTTTCTGAAGCACTATTTTTCTGTCTCTTTAGTAACTGGGATTGTTCTTTGATTAGCAGGGTTGCAAAACTCAACTTGGCTAGTGATTTGATTATTTTTTACAGTTTAAATACTTCTACTTAGGCCCCATTATGATGATCTGAATCAGAATTTAACTGCTACTCCCTTTACATTTTTGTAGAATGGCTTTAAGTGTCATTGTATGTCTGAATCTCATCAGAGACAACTATTGCTGGCTTCAGAAAATCCTCAACAGTTTATGGATTATTTTTCAGAGTAAGTAATTCAAAGAAATGCTTATCATGCTTCATTCAATTGGACATTTAATAGATGCTTAATATTTTATATATTGGAGGCTCCGTTTATTCCGTACATATGAACATGATAGCTATATTATCTTTGTGTTCAGTTTCTGTATTCTTTGGACAATTTATCATAGTATGAAATTATCTTAAATCTTTCTCACAATTTGGTTTTTCCCTTACACTTCAAACAAACGAAACTATCTTCTAAAACAAGTGTGGCTAAGAGCCCAGTTCTGGAGTCAGACTGCCTGACTTCAAATCCTTCAAATCCAGGCTTCTCCACTCATGAGCTATGTGACTGGGTGAATTTTTTCTGGGCTCTGATCTCATCCATAAAATGGGATTAAAAATAGTACTGCTTTCCAATAATTATCTTTCCTTCATTGGGTTTATTTGAGGTTATATGAGTTAATGACACCTTTAAACTGTTTAGAAGAGTGCTCAGTACTCGGTAATATTAGCTGTTAGTTATTATTAATAATAATATTTAGTCTTGCATCTATCCATCTCTTTCTTTCCAATGCTCTACATCTTTTGGTCTTAGGACCATCTTGAATACCATCAGGGTACGTATGGCACACTATAGGAAATACCATTCTGGCAAGAGCCATCTGCATACACTCAGTGCCCTCCTTGCTGCCTCCCATCACTCCATCCATTTTAGCTCCTTCCGCCTCTGTCAGACTCCTGGAGAGTCACTCGTGCCCTTTTCCATCTTCCCCTTCCTTGATCGTTCTGCAGAGGGTAAAGCTCTTAACTCAAAATTGAAACATCTCTCTGGTTTACATTCCTCCCTGGTTTCCCTCCTACCATGCCCTCTGCTCACTTCCTTCATTAACTCCTCTTCCTGTCCCAGCTTCTCAGATACAGAAAGTCCTTCAGGGTGTTCACTTGGCTACTTTCCACCCCACTCTACACAGTCTCCATGATTTTTTTTTTCCTGGGAAATTCTAATCTATACTTTTTTTTTTTTTTAATCCTCACCAGAGGACATTTTTCAACATTTTTGTTGAGATAGAGTGGGAGGAAGAGAGAGAGAGAAACATCTATGTGAAAGGGACACATCGAGTGGCTGCCACCCACACGACCCAACCAGGGCCGGGGACAAACTGCAACCGAGGTACATGCCCTTAGTGGGAACCGAACCCGGGTCTCTCCGGACCACAGGCCGATGATCTAACCGCTGAGCCAAACCGGCCAGGGCTAATCTATACTTCTGAAAGCCATCTCAAAGACAACACTTCCAAAGTTGAATTTAGTTAGGATTCTCCCCACCACAGCTGCTGGTTCTCCTGTGCTGGCTAATGATTGCCTACACTGACTGCAAGCTGCAACCTCAGCATCCTCTGGGAGTTCCCTCATGTGGGTTCTCCTCTACAGTCCTTTAAACTGATGCCTTTTCTATTCTCACAGCCCCAGTAATCATCCTCAGCGTCTCCACCTGAAAGAGTTCAGTGACTTCCTCACTGGTCTCGCAACCTGCAGCTCCTGCTCCTGTACCTGTTCTGTGCCTGTGGTTCATAAGCCAGTGCCTGCATCAGAGTCACCTTGAGGGCTTGTGAAGACAGAATGGCAGACCTTCCACCCACTTTCCAATTCAGTAGATCTGGGATGGGGCTGTAGACTTTGCATTTCTATCAAGTGCCCAGGTGATGTTGATGCTGTAGGTCTGGGGACCACAGTATGAAAATTATTGTTGTATACCGTCCTCCAGCATTATCTTTCTAAATTACAGATTGTCACAAATTAACTCTTAAGTAAATTATTTTATGCTTTTTCATTGTCTACATAAACCCAATCTCTTTATCATGACCTTCAAGGTACTTCAAAAATTAACCCTAAAATTACATGCCAGCTACATCTTCTCCTTCTCCGTTATTCTGTTGCACTCTGAATCTCACACTCATTTTTTAACGTTAGCCAAATTCGATTGTCATTTCTCAAACATGAAGCTTTCATGTTTCTGTGCTAACTGGGAATGGCCTTCTCTTCTTCTCCTGTAAAAGTCCTATTTATACTTCACCACCCATATTAAAAATCACCTCCAGGCACCTCTAGATATCTTCTTCAACTCTTCCTCTGACATTTTGTTACATTTTTTTTTTTTTCAATTTGACTTCTGTTATGGGAGGGTCTGCGAGATTGTAACTTAGGTGAAGATTTATGTTTTATTCACTGATGTTTATCTAGCACTTAACTCAGTTCAGAGGGACACAATTGTGCCATTTTCTTGCACAATTAGGGCAGTTTTGTTATCATCAATAAAAAGGTATTGTTATGTCACAATGAATAGTGCTAAGAGACTTCATGAAGGGCCCTCTCCAAAGATGTGTAGTCACTTTTGCAATGGCTGCTTTGCCAAGACAAAAAGTTTCAACTCCAAACTGACATTTAACTTTAATTCTTGGAAGATATAATCTTTTGGGATTCTTTCCTTGTTCAGTTTTTAAAGGTTCATAACAGATATTCAATAAATATTTCATATATCATTTGAGAATTCAAACTGTACAAAAGCTTAAATTTCAGGAAGATAATGCAATATATTTGTAGAAATTATCATAATGCTTTCCTTTCTTTCTTTATTAGGGAATTCCGAAATGACTTTCTAGAACTTCTCAGGAGACGCTTTGGTAAGTATTTTAAATATTGTGCGTTTAATAACTTTACAGTCCTATAACCTGCTCAGGATCCACAGTTTCACATTTTGTTCGTAGGTACTAAGAGAGTTCACAACAACATTGTTTATAACGAGTATATCAGCCACCGAGAGCACATCCATATGAATGCCACTCAGTGGGAGACTCTGACTGATTTTACCAAGTGGCTGGGCAGAGAAGGTAAGAATAAAACATATTTGAATAGTAATAATTATGTGGCTCTATTGTGAGGAAAGAGAGTTGTCATAGTTTGTGTGTAAATTTCTAGTAAAGAGGATGAGTAGAGTAATTAAAAAACTGTGCAGCCTTGGCTGGTGCGACTCAGTTGGATAGTGCATTGTCCCATGTACCTAAGGGTCGCAGGTTCGTTTCCTGGTCAGGGCACATACTCAAGTTGCAGATCCGATTCCTGGTCCAGGAATGTATGGAAGGCAACTGATGGATGTTTCTCTCTCCCTCTCTCCCTCTCCTTCTCCTTCTTCCTCTAGAATCAATGAAAAAAATATCCTCTGGTAAGGATTAAACAAAAAAAAGGTGGAGAGGAGCATAATATTATAGGGTTTATTTTGTGTATTACAGTTGAGTATGAATGTCTGGAATCTCTCTTTTGACAGTGCCAAGATTTATCACTGAAGCAACCTCTCATTTAAATTAAGGACTATTATCAATCCTCTTCCATTTTTGCCCCCCATATTCATTTCACTTTAGGAAACTTAGTTGGTACCTGTCTTAAGGAGATTTTTAAAATGTATTGCTTTTTTCATTTTTATCTTCATTGGATGAAAAGTTGGGGAGAAGAAAAGGGAAGGAAATTTTGTGTCGATGTATTACTTATTCAGTGTGTTACTTTATTCCATTTTAGGAAAGTAATTTCTGCTTAGTTAACAGAATATCATGTACTCATAGGATGTTAAACACACACAGTTGAATAATTACTAAGCAAGATAATACTTCTTTCATGTGTCTTCCTTGTTTAAATATGTCACCTCAACCCAGCTAGTTAAAAATCAGAATAGTAATTGTTTGTGTTCAAAGAGATAGAATATTCCACTTAAAATATCTAAGTCACATTAACTATGAATATGGAAAATTCATGTACTGCATGAATTTGTGTACTTGAATGAATGAGTAAATAATGCAGAGATAGAACACATTTATATTTACCTTCAGCTTTGATTATATACAAATTTATGGTGTTTGTTTTATTTCATTTTATTTTTTTAAGGCTTGTGCAAAGTAGATGAGACACCAAAAGGCTGGTATATTCAGTATATAGACAGGGACCCAGAAACTATCCGTCGGCAACTAGAACTAGAGAAAAAAAAGAAGCAGGACCTTGATGATGAAGAAAAAACTGCTAAATTTATTGAAGAACAAGTCAGAAGAGGTCTGGAAGGGAAAGAACAGGTAGGTAACAATGTCCTTGAGAGAGGCAATAGAAAAAGGGCTAACGAAGCAAAATTGCTTGTTTTTGTTAAACATTGAATTGAGTTTTGTACGTGTGGTACCTTAACTAAGTGGAGAAAGAGCGTGGCTGAGGGTAAAAGCCCAGGTTTTGAAGTGAAAACAAACCCGGGTCAGTTCCTGACTTCTTGACTTCACAATCTTGTGTAACTACGTAATCTTCTAAACCTCAGTTTTTGTATCTCTATAAAGAGGCAGTAGTTAATGGGAAAGAAAGAAACAGAGAATTTCTCCTGATTATAATAACAGTGTGTGGGAAAGTAGAGAGCCAGAGCTTGCTCCTGCCTGGGGAGGATATAAAATATTTGAAGGTAGATACAACCCCTGGCTTGAGAAGTCCTAAAGAATTAATGATCAAAACCTAGGTAAATGGGAGAGGGAGGGCATGTTGATGGTTCAGGACTTAGAATAATTAGATCAAGGCATTTGTATCAACAAATATTTACTGGGTACCTCCTATGTGCCAGGCACTCTTCTGAATACAGGGGATATAGCAGTGAACAAAAGATAAAAAATCCTATAAAATAATTATCAATTGGACAATATTTACAATACATATAATTTCTTAATTAGGGTCTTAGTCATTTTGAGTTGTATCTTTGAGCTGCCTTGCGACATAGGTAATAAGACCTAATTTAGGAGTACTGAATATTGATAGTAATTGCTCTGTGACCAAACCTTCAAACTTTTTTTCTTCCTCAGGATACTCCTGTTTTTACAGAATTAAGCAGAGAAAATGATGAAGAGAAAGGTAACTGTGCTTCTTTTTCTTTTTTTAATGCGCATGCTTTTATATTGGTTCTTCTAAAAGTAGGCAGCATGTGCCCCGGCTGGTTTGCCTCAGTGCTTGGAGCATTGGCCCGCAGACCAAATTGTTGCAGGTTTGATTCTGGTCAAGGGCATGTACTTTGGTTGTGATTCGATCCCTGGCCCTGGTTGGGGTCATGCAGGAGGCAACCATTTGATGTGTCTCTCTCACATCGATGTTTTTCTCTCTCTTTCTCTCTCTTTCTTTCTCTTTCTCTTTCTCCCTCCCACTGTATCTGAAAATCAATGGAAAAATATCCTTGGGTGAGGATTAAAAATAATAATTTAATTAATTTATTTTTGTTACAGATGTTTCTCCTTTTTCCCCCATTGACACCCTCCTCCTGCCGCCCCCCCCCCCCCCAGCATTGTTGTCTATGTCCATTGGTTATGCTTATATGCATAAGTTCTTTGGTTTATCTCTTTCCTCCACTCTGCCCCCTCCTCTGGAGTTTGTTAGGCTGAACCCTACTGATATGTCTCTGGGTCTTTTTGTTCATCACTTTATTTTGTTCATTATATTCCAAAAATAAGTGAGATCATGTGATACTTGTCTTCTCTGACTGGCTTATTTCACTTATCATAATTCTCTCCAGGTCCCTCCATGTTATCTCAAAGGATAAGAGCTCTTTCTTTCTTACAGCTGCATAGTACTCCATTGTGTATGTGTACCACAGCTTTTTTATCCACTCATCTACTAATGGACACTTGGGCTGTTTCCAGATCTTAGCAGTTGTAAATAGTGCTGCTATGAACATAGGGGTACATATATTCTTTCTGATTGGTGTTTCAGGCTTCTTGGGATATATTCCTATAAGTGGGATCACTGGGTCAAATGGCAGTTTTATTTTTAATTTTTTGAGGAGGGGACTTCCGGTCAAGATGGTGGCTTAGGTAAACACGGTACTCACCTCCTCTCACAACCACATCAAAATTACAACTAAACTACAGAATAAACATCCTTCAGAACTGCCTGACATCGAGCTGAATGGAATTCCTACAACTATGAAATTAAAGAAGAAGCCACATTGAGACTGGTAGGAGGGTCGGAGGTGTGGATGGGCTGGTCCCACACCCACGTGTGGCGGATAAAAATCAGGAGGGACACCTTGGCTGTGAAGGTCCTCCTTGAGGAGTGAGGGTTCCCATCTCACACCAGGCACCCAACTCGGGGTTCCAGTGCTAGGAAGAGAAGTCCCTATAGCTTTGGGCTGTAAAAACCAGCAGAAATAGGCTGAGGGAGGCTGAGGCAGCTGGAGCCCCAGGCTGCTCCTCTGAAAGGGCCCGTGCACGGACTTACTAGGACAAGTTCCCTCTGAGTTGCAATGTGGAGGGGAGATAGTTTGAAAGACACCAGATACATTCGGGGAAGAACTGAGTTATTGGGTATCGGGGCGAGGACTGGAGAGGCAGCTTTCTCCTGGACAGACATGCTGTTGGAGGCCATTGTTCCTTTAGTGAGCCTTTCCCCCACAGGGCAGGCAGACAGCTGCCATATCTGGGACTCCAGCAACCTGGCTCACACATTTTGCCCTGCCCTGGTGATTTCCTGAGACCCTGCCCACCTAATTTTCAAGCCCACCCAAGCCATTGCCAGTGGTTTTACTATAGGATTGAACTGTTTTGGCTCGTGCTTCAGATTTTTCTAAATTCTCTTAAACAAGCAGCATCTGACCACAGTGGGCCCCATACCTCTTACTAAATGGTCCCAGGCCTGGCCCTGCAAGCAGCCAGCCGTGGTTCACAGCTTGGTTTCACCTGGGCACCTCCACACCCAGCACAAGAAGCAGTTATCAACAGATCACTTTGTAGCTTATGCCTGGTGGCCCTGGATAGAACACAAGCAATGGCTGACCTTGCCCCAGAGCCAGCACACCCAGTGGACAGGTTCAGACTACGTTGAAGCACTACCACCCAACCACCTCCACAAGTGACACCCTCAGCGAGTGGACTCAGTGGGTACCAGAGCCCTGCTGAAGTAAGTCTTGCTGTGTGTGATGGGGCTCTGCACAGCTGATCATCCAAGGTGGTCAGAGGTTGGTGTTAGTGGGCACAGCTAGTCCTTGCAGCTGATCAGCCTGAGTAAAACCCTCCCATTGATGTGCCAACAGCAATCAAGACTCAATTACAACAGAAGGGTGTAAAGTCCACACGAGGGGTGTACCTCGAGGGCCCAGCTGTTTGATCAGGGAGGCTGTCACTGGACCCTACAGAACACCTACTACATCAGGCCACCCTAGGAAGCCTAGGAGACACAGCAACTCTACCTAATACATAGAAAAAAACACAGGGAGGCAGCCAAAATCAGGAAACAAAGAAACATGTCCCAAATGAAAGAACAGACCAACACTCCAGGAAAAGAACTAAATGAAATGGAGATAAGCAATCAATCAGTCTCAGAGTTCAAAACACTGCCTATAAGGACACTCAGTGAATTTAGTGAGGGTCTAAAAATCATAATAAAGGACCAGTCAGAAATTGAGGGTGCACTAACTGAAATAACGAATAATTTACAGGGAATCAGTAGAGTAGGTGAAACAAAGAAGCAAACCATTGAATTGGAATACAAGGAAGCAAAAAACACCCAATCAGAACAGCAAAAAGAAAAAAAGATCCAAAAACAGGATAGTATAAGGAGCCTGTGGGACAACTTCAAGTGTACCAACATTTGCATCATGAGAGTGCCAGAAGGAGAGGAGAGAGGGCAAGAAATTGAAAACCTATTTGAAAAAGTGATAACAGAAAACTTCCCTAAATTGAAGGAAACAGACATATAGTCCAGGTAGCACAGAGAGTCCAAGCAAGATGAACCCCAAGAGGTCCTTACCAAGACACATCAAAATGCCAAAGGTTAAAGACAGAGAGAATCTTAAAAGCAGCAAGAGAAAAGCAATTACCTACAATGGAGCTCCTATAAGGCTGTCAGCCGATTTCTCAAAAGAAATTTTGCAGACCAGGAGGGAGTGGCGAGAAATATTTAAAGTGATGAAAAGCAAGGACCTATAATTAAGATTACTCTATCCTGTGAAGCTATCGTTTAGAATTGATGGCCATATAAATAGTTTCCCAGACAAGAAAAAGCTAAAGGAGTTCATCACCACCAAACCAGTATTATATGAAATGTTAACGGTCTTCTTGGAGAAGATAAGAAAATATGAACAATAAAATGGCAGTAAATACATATCTATCACCCTGGCCAGTTTGGCTCAGTGGTTAGAGCGTCAGCCTGTGGTCCAGAGAGACCCGGGTTCGGTTCCCACTAAGGGCATGTACCTCGGTTGCGGTTTGTCCCCAGCCCTGGTTGGTTGTGCGGGTGGCAGCCACTCAATGTGTCCCTTTCACGTTTATGTTTCTCTGTCTATCTCTCCCTCCCACTCTATCTGAACAAAAAATGGAAAAAAAATGTCCTCAGGTAAGGATAAAAACAAAACAAAACCCAAAAACATATTTATCAACAATTGAATCTACAAACATAATGAGCAAGCAGAGCAGAAACAGACTTACAGATACAGAGAAATTTTTGTTGGTTGCCAGATGGGAGGGAAGTTGGGTGAAAAAGATGAAGAGATATCGAACTACAAATTGGTTGTTAGCCTGATGAACCTCAAAGGGAAGGGGGGAGGTGGGGCAGGAAGAGAGAAACTAAAGAACTTATATGCATATGTGCATAACCAGTGGACACAGACAGTAGTGTGGGGAAAGCACGAGGGGGTTGGGATAGGGGAGGGGGTCAAGGAGGGGAAATAAGGGACATCTGCAATACATTCAACAATAAAGATAAGTATAAAAAAAAACCACAACAAATGTTTTGAGGAAACACCATATTGTTTTCCATAGTGACTGCACCAGTCTGCATTCCCACCAGCAGTGTACTAGAGTTCCCTTTTTCTCCACACCCTTGCCAGCACTTGTTTGGTGATTTGTTGATGGCAGCCATTCTAGCAGGTGTGAGATGATACCTCATAGTTGTTTAAAGAAGGTTTTTCTAGAAGGTACTCCTTCTGCTAGTGGACTTCTTTTTTTTAATGTCGTTGGCCAGTCTGTATCACATGTCCACCTCAAGAGCAGTCACTGAAAAGGGAATGGGATTGCTTTGATTTTTAGACCAAAAGAACCTCCCAAGAGTCCCACCTTGTAATCCTGTAGCCTTGGGCATTAGCTTTCAACTAATTCAAATGCGAATTCAGACCAGAGCATCCTGTGAGCCATATGTGAGAGGTTTGGACACCTAAACAAAACTAGATTCCTACTAGTGAGGGCAGCCGGCGCAGTGGAGAGGAGAGGCAGCCAAGGCTGTCTCACAGCTCTGTCACGGAGGTCTTTCCCAGCCCTGTGGGCATCCATCCAGTGTGTTCTACAGGAATGTATGACCTCTGGACAGGAGCCTTCCAGCTCTTCTTTATTCAAAATGCCCATGGAAAACAACAAAATGCTCATGAATTTCTATGTGGATGTATTATGGTATCTTATCTGATAAGTATTATTATAATTTTCCTAAAATATATGTAATACCAATTTTTCTCTTGTAGTGACATTTAATTTGAATAAAGGAGCATGTAGTTCAGCAGCAACATCTTCCAAGTCAAGGTGAGCTACATGAACAGGTATATGAGAACTTGAAAATTTTTGTGAAATCCTGATGACTACATTTTTAAAACTGGAGTATTGTGAATTTTTTTTTTTTTTTTCTGATTGCACTTTTTTTCTTTGATTTTGTTTGATGGTTGTGTGTGTGTGTGTGTGTGTGTGTGTGTGTGGTTTTTTTAGCAGCTGGTTTTCTTATTTGTCTGTCATAAGATGACCTGTCTTTTGAGGAAAGTCTTATTTGGATTAAAGGCTTCACATGGATAAACTGTTGCTTCTCCATGCATCCTTCCCCACTTAATGGTTTCTCTGTGCTACTGCAGTGCTGTTTATTTTTCTATCATAGTCCACTTAGCAAGTTTAAATATTAGCTAGGGTATACACTTTTTGCTTTATCTGCTGTGTTATGATTTTCTGAGAACAGAGACTAAGTTACTGATCTGTCTGTCTCCTTAGTACTATCACCTAGTACAGTATAAGTGCACTAGTAGGCACTCAGTAATAATTGCCTTCTTTTCTCCATTGCGTAGTACAAGCAGGAGCCTACAGACTGTTCTGTGAAGGGCCACATAGTAAATATTTTAGACATTGTTGGATCGATCTATCTATCTATCTATCTATCTATCTATCTATCTATCTATCTATATCTTTGTCACAACCATTTAACTCTGCTGTCAGAGTGAGAAAGCGAACATAGACAATACATAAACAAATGAACATGCTGTGCTCCAGTAAAATCTTATTTATAAAAACAGGCCACAGGCTGGATTTGGCCCTCAGACTGTAGTTTGCCAAACTCGGATACAGCATGTAGTCAGATACTTCTGCCCACTTTCATGGTCTTGTCTAGTTATATATTCTTTTACCAGATGTTCACTATTTGTGATGTGCAGTGCATTCAATTTGGTTAAGGAGGTTAAAAAGCTAAATATAAGAGATGTTCAGGAAGGTACCAGTATATATGTGAATTTGGTTTTGAGCAGTATTTTACACATTGTATATTTAAAGCCCAGTTGTTGTTTTCTTGGAGGCGGGTAGTTTATAGGCTAGTGCCTATTTGAATGACTGAAGTGGCTAGGAGAATGGAAGGAAATTGGCTAGCTCAGCAGTCTACTACTGCTTCAGAATGGCTTGCCAAATGTCTTAGCTTGGATCAAAATACTTCAGAATTAACACCTACATTAGGTATCATGAAGAAAATGGTCAGTTGAGTTCTATATATGGTACATCTGAAAATGCTTTGTAGGATATTGATATGATATGACCCGGAAGACAGGCTTGAATATATTGAAACACACTTGTCATGTGGCTTTAGACACTTCTGTATTTTTCTCCATTCTCCTTTATTATTTGTTATTCCTAAGTGTAGATGAGTGTTAAGATTGGTCCCAGTGGCCTCCAAACTGATCACTCTTGCATTAGTTTTCTGTGACTGTGGTAAATAAATGATCGCAAACGAGGTGGCTGGAAACAATGGAAATCTCTTCTGTCTCTGGAGATCAGAATTCTGAAATCAAGGTGTCTGCAGGGCTGTGCTCCTTCCAGAGGCTCTGGGGAGAATCAGCTTCTGGTGGCTGCTGGCCGCCTGGGGCTTGTGGCTGCATCTCTCTTGTCTTCATGACCAGGGTCTTTACATTTCTCTTTGCTTCATCTTCATATTGTCTTCTGTGTGTGTCAGGTCTCCCTCTGTTTCTCTCTTAAAAGAAATGCTCTAATGCTACCTTTAAATAAAAAACAAAACTTAACTAATGGAAAATAATTTTATTCTATTTTCTAATCATCACATTTTTTTTTTGGTTATCTCCATGATAGCTTTGTGCAAATATTTGTTTAGTCTTTTGTAAATATGACAGACTAAACAATTAGACCAGTGAGATTCATTTAGGCAGCAAATATTAATTGAGCATCTATTTTATGTGAGTCACAACATAGTACTACTGTATTACAGAGGTGAAAATGTATACATATGGTCCCTCCCTTAGAACGAGGAGTCATATATATAAATGATTATAATACAGGCTGAGTGTGATGTAGTCCATAAAGTGCCATGGCATTTCAAAAAATGACAATTCAAGAAACCTCTTGAATAATAGTCTTAAAGAATTTTAACAAATGGAGAAAAATGGGGAGATTCTTTTAGGTTTAAAAGAGGCATATGCAAATTTACGAAAGCATGAAGCATAGGGCATGGCTCAGTCAATAGCAAATTGTTTACAGTGGGCAGTGAACATAATAAGCTAGAGATAGTATTCGGGGGTCAGTGGTGACAGTTTTATATCAGCACTAACAAAATTAGAATTTACACTGTCAACTCTAGGCACTCAGGCAATCAGAAATATTTAAGTGACATGTTAAGATCTTTGCCTTAAAAAAAATAGAACTGACAATAATATGCTAGACTTCTAGCAGTTACTTTACAAACATTTAATCCTTGCAGTCGAGCTCAGAGTTGAATAATATTATAGATGAGGGACTGAGGCTTAGAAAAGTTCATTACTCACAGTCCTAGAAGTAGCCTCAAACCCTGATCTGCCTAATGCCGAAGACAATGCTGTCATCACTGCTATACTGGTTATATTGGTGCTGGCTGAAGGGGTGAGGACAAGGTCGGAGGGAGCCCAGAACAGGAAGGGTTACACATTTTGGTGCCTAGAGTCCTGTAAGGGATACAGATGGGTCCTTCATTGTTTCAGCGAATTTGTTATAACTGAATCATGTAACAGATTTCTTCTATGTTGTTTATTCTGCACATTCTAAAGGCTTTGTCTGTGTATAGTTTTTGTTAATTAGCACGGTTCTTCTTCTCATCAGTTCTTTAGGACCAAGTGCCTTGAAGGTGATAGAGACCACAGCATCAGTGAAACGGAAAACACCTTCCCAGAGCTCAGCTCAACCCAAAGAAAAGAAGAAAAAGAAATCTGCACTTGATGAAATCATGGAGGTACAGTTGATGAACTGCCTCTTCATTCTTTAGCATTCTAGGAATGATGCAGTTTAAACCAAGGAAACTTAAATGGTTTCACCAGTGTCAGAGTTCTGTAAAGTTAGAAAAAAGTGCATCTACTAGTGTAGGAAAAAGGAGCCTAGTTGCAGTTTCCCTGGAATAGAGTTAGAACTCCCGAGCTCGGTCCAGTTTCTCGCCTCGAGTGCTGTCTCCAGAACTCTCCATGCGGGTGTGGCCAAAGAGAAGGACGTCAGTGGTGATGGAGGCGGAAGGGAAAGCTCTGTTCCCCTTATGTGTCTGTGAGGTTGGCGTCCTCCACGATTCCCCTGCCAACCTGTGTCCTCCTGTTGTCTAACGTCACCTGCCACCTTTCAGCCAGCAGGAAAAAACTGTGACGTTGTTTCAGTTTGATTTCACCCCGATGGCTACGTTTATGTGATGAATCATTGAAAACTTGTGATTATCTGGATCTGGGGCCATACTTTCTACTGGGAACTCTAGAGCAGCTCTGTAGAAGATTCTTAATATACTCCTAAATATTCCTCTCTCCCTTCTAACACATGACCTTACTTTTATCCATCCATTTATGAAATAAGTGGAAAAAGAGAAGAGGAAGGACAGGTGAGGAAAAAGACTAAATGAATACAAGAAGCAGTTTTTCCCCCCTGTAAAATCATTACCTCTAGTCTCTCCATCACTTTTCTTCATTTGTGAGGGGATAGGAGGACACTGTTCGGTCTCCCCCATTACTGAGTCCTCACACAATGAGCAGCAGTCTGAAAAGCTTAAAGCCTAACATGAAATTGTACACTCTGAGATGTCATTCCATCATTCAACAAGTATTGAGTCACTGTTATGTTCTAGGGAGGCATGAATGAGGTCATGGGTCTGGAGAACAGGGATAAAAACACAGTACCTGTGTGTCATGGCGCTTTCATTCTAGTGAGGGAGACATTCCACGAACAAGTGAGCAATAGACAAGTAATTATGTACAAAAGGCTAAGTCCTAAGGAGGCCCGAGCAGCAAGAGTAAGGAGATAGCCTGTGCTCTTGCAGGGAAGAGCTCTAAGGCAGGCCTTGAAGGAAAGGTTCACGGTGAGCACGCGTGGTAGCCTGCCAGGTTAGAGAGGGAAGCAGGAGACACTCCAGAGGGCTTATGGGCCGTCACAGAGAGTTTTTACATTTAATTCAAAGGACAAAGGATCTACCTGCTTTGAAAAAGAAAACATGATATAAAGCCATAATGGCCAGTCAGCCTTTTTGTTTTTTTGTTAATCCTCACCCAAGGATATTTTTCACACTGTTTTTCTTTGAGAGAGAGACAGAAACATCGCCGTGAGAGAGACACATCAATTGGTTGCCTCCTATGCAGGCCCCAAGCGGGAGCTGGGGATCAAACCTACAACCCAGGTACATGCCCTTGACCGGGAATCGAACACATGACCCTTCAGTGCACGGGCTGATGCTCTAGCCACTGAGCCAAACCGGCCAGGGCAACTTTTTGTTCTTTTGATCACCCTTTTATTTATATCTCTCTTGGTTGTATGTTTCTTCCCCTCCATTTACGAGCTTTATTATCCTTATCAGACAGGGAAGCTCCTTTTTGCCGTAAGACTGTGTACCTCACTGCTGTGCTAAATTGGTCTGTAAATGTTTTTACCACATGAAAACGGCCTGTTTTCTAGTTCATGACAGTCACGTGGGAGGAAGCAGCGGGAGGGCAGTGCTCAGCACCGGCAGATGGCCTTGCAGCACTGACTGCCTGAGTAGAGGTTGTTGGTGTGTATTTCCATGTCAGTTGGCTTGCTTTATAATATATATTTTTTTAATCCAAGTTTTTTTTAATCAAAAACTAATTGTAAAAAACATATTTTTATCAGAGTTTGCAAATTATATCATTGATCTTCTGAGAATTATGTGTATTCTGTTATTCTTTTGCTAAACAGAATGCTATTCGAAAGAATTGAGGATTTTAAAGAAATTATTTTATGATTGTCTTGTGTTCTACAGATTGAAGAGGGAAAGAAAAGAGCCGCCCGAACAGACTACTGGCTGCAGCCTGTACGTATTCGGTTGGAGTGTCTTAAGTTCTCCGTGTACTTTCAAGTGAATGTTTTAAATAGCATTTGATATAAATGACTGAATTTCTCAATTGTATATAAATGACATAGATAGACTTATAAATTCAGTGAATTTTTTTTTCTATTTGATCTTTGATCATTGGTTGCACCTGTATTGGCGGGTTACTTCATGTTTATTAGACTACTAATATTCCTTGAGTTTAATGCCTGACTTGTTTATAGCACCTTGAATTTAAGCCTGGAATTATTTTCCATGTTTCCTATAAGACAAAAGATTGTAGTGTCAGAAATGGAATTAAATAGTATTGTAAATGCAGAAGTACTTGTTTTCAACTCACATCTTGTTGAACTTAGAATACCAATTTAGGAGGTACTTTGTAAAAAAAAAAAACAGCTTTTAATTTTACAAATTCAAGTAAAGCTTTGTATTTTGTTGCTTACTTATTATTGCTTATTATTTTAAGATAATTTTATAACAATTTGTAAACATTTTAATAATTTTAAAATTCTTATTTATAGATGCTGTTTTGAACTTACTAAGATGTGCAGTTCTCATAAAACTGTCAGAGTGCCTTAGTTATTCTTAAAGCAGCTGGTTTGATCAAGAACAGGAGAGTCAAAAGTAGCATGTTATTTAGATAATTTCTTAATTTTTGAAAAATAAGATTAATAACCTCAAAGGTCAGGAAGTTCAGAGTACTGGAAAAAGACTGGGGCAGGCAGTACCAGAGCGAGGGTGAGTGTGTGAGTGTGAGCGAGTGTGAGTGGACGTGAGTGTGGGTGAGCAACCTTGAGTAGTGTGAAAAACATGGGGCAGAGGGTTCATGTGCTATGGACAGGGAGCAGCCGGCTACTGCAGTAAGCAGCTCGTCATGGAGCTTTTCCCTGTGTGGCCAGGAGGCCCCACCATTTTGGAAGATCCATGGTCTTCTCTGGAAGGAAGCAGCAAGAGCAGCTAGGGCCAAGTGACCTGAGTTCACCAGTGTGCCTTGCACCATCGGACCAGTGGACCCTGCTGTGTCAACGCAGACCAGCACACAGTAGCCGCGCTGTCAGGGTGCCTGCTGCGGAAGCTGCAACCAACCAGGAGCGGCGCACCACCACCAGCAGCAGTAGCGCCAGCTTGGGAGCCTAGGACCTTCTCCTACAGCAGCAGTGACTGGGTGGGAGTGGAGTCCCACCCCCAACGCATCTGAGGATCAAGAGCCCAGACAAACCCCCAGCAGTAGAGGCTAGGGAGCAGACATCCATCCCCAGGTGGCAGCAGCACAGATCAGCAGCTGCGACCCATCCCCAGCAGCATCAGCAGAGGCTGATCAGGAGGGGTGCCCCAGTCCAGCAGCTGCAAGGCCTGGGCAGCCGAGACCCGCCCCTGACAAATGCAGCAGCAGATTTGAAGTGGAGCCCCTCCCCCCAGCAATAGCAAAGTCCCAGGAGCTTAGCATCCTTAGCCCCCAACAGCACCAGAGGATTGGGAGCTGAGAGCATCCCCTGGCAACAGCAACAGCAGTAGCAGTGCAAACTGGGAGCTGACACTTACCTTCACTTACTTAGTATCAGCAGCAACTGATCAGGAGCTGAGCCCCACCAGGCAGCAGCATACTGGCAAGACCCCCATGCCTCAGCAGGGAACCGGCTGAACCCATGCACCCCAGCAGTGCCTACCTTGCCAGACCAATACCAGCCACCAGTTGACAGTCTTCCAGGACCCACAGCAGGCAAGAGGCACCACACACCAAAACAGTCTGGGTGGCCTAGCAGCCTTATTTGATACACACTGACCTGCCTACACGTCCCAACATCCCTCACTGGGCCTAGAACTATCAGACTGCTAAAATGGTGAGACAAAGAAACAATACCCAAATGAATAAAAGGAGGAATCACCAGAAAAGGAACTACATAAAATGGAAGAAAACAATTTGTCAGATAAAGAATTCAAAACAATGATTTTCAGGGTGCTCACACAATTTAGTGAGAACTACAAGCAGCTTAATGAGAATTATAAAGAACTCAGTGGGAACTACTTCAGCTTAAAAAAAGAGGTAGAAGCTATGAATAAAAACCAAGAGGAAATGAAGAATGACATAGCTGATATGAAAAATATCTTAGGAGGATTCAATAGTAGATTATAAGAAGCTGAAGACCTAGTCAGGGAGTTAGAAGACAAGGTAGAAAAAAACACCCAATAGAGCAGCAAATGGGGAAAAAAATTAAAAAGTAGGAGGAGAGTTTAAAGGAGCTTTGGGACAACACAAAATGTAACAACATTCACATCATAGGGGTACTGGAAGGAGAAAAATCAGAGAAAGGAATAGAGGACCTGTTTGAAGAAAAATGACAGAAAACTTCCCTAATTTGGTGAAGGAAAAAGTCACACAAGTCCAGGAAACACAGAGTCCCAAGCAAGATGAACCCAAAAGACCCACAGCTAGACACATTGTAATTAAAATGGCAAACATTAAAGACAAAGAAAGAATCTTAAAGGAAGCAAGAGAGAGGCAGAAAGTTACCTACAAGGGAGCTCCCATTAGACTTTCAGCTGATTTCTCAGTAGAAACTCTTCAGGCCAGAAGGGAGTGACATGAAGTGTATAAAGTAATGAAAGGCAAGGGTCTGAATCCAAGACTACGCTATCCAGCAAGGCTGTCATTCAAAATTGAAGGTGAAATGAAGAGCTTCACAGACAAAAAAAAAAAGCTAAAGAAATTTACCACCACCAAACCAGCACTGCAAGAAATGCTAAAGGGACTGCTGGAAGAAGAAGAAATAGAGGGGGGGAGAGAGAGGAACACAGGCATAAAATAAAAATGGCAACTAATAAGTATCTATCAATAATAATCTTAAATGTAAATGGCTTAAGTGCTCTATAATCAAAAGACACAGGGTAGCTGATTGGATAAGAAAACACAACCCATATATATGCTGTCTACAAGAGACCCACCTCACAACAAGACTCACACAGGATGAAAGTGAAGGGATGGAAAAAAATTTTCCAGGCAAATGGAAATGAAAAAAAAATGCTGGTGTAGGAATACTCATATCTGATAAAATAGACTTCAAAACAAGGGCTATAATAAGAGACAAAGACGGTCACTACATAATATTAAAAGGATCAATTCAACAACAGAATATAACCCTGGTAAATATATATGCACCATATATAGGAGCACCAAAATATATTTAAAAACTTCTGGAGGACTTAAAGGGAGAGATCAGTAGCAATACATTAATAGTGGGTGACTTGAACACCCCACTGACACCACTGGATGGATCTTCTAGACTAAAAATTAACAAGGACACAGAGTCCTTAAATGATCAGTTGGACTTAACTGATATTTACAGAACATTTCACACCAAAGCTGCAGAATATACATTCTTCTCAAGTGCACATGGGACATTCTCGAAGATAGACCACATGTCAGGACACCAAGTAAGTCTCTACAAATTCAAGAAGATTGAAATCATATCAAGAATCTTCTCAGATCACAATGGCATGAAACTAGAAGTCAATTAAAATAAAAACATGCAAAAACATTCAAACACATTGAGGCTAAGTAGCATGTTATTAAACAATGAATGAGTTACTAAGGAGATCAAGGAAGAAATTAAAAACTTCCTGAAAACCAGTGAAAATGAATACACAACAACATTTGAAAAAATTGTCAATGTTACTAATTATCAGAGAGATGCAAATTCAAACAACTATGAGGTATCACCTCACACCTGCCAGAATGGCTGCCATCAACAAACATCAAACAAGTGTTGGCGAGGGTGTGGAGAAAAGGGGACTCTAGTATACTGCTGGTGGGAATGCAGACTGGTGCAGCCACTATGGGAAACAATATGGTGTTACCACAAAAAGTTAAAAATTGAACTTCCATTTGACCCAGTGATCCCACTTCTAGGAATATACCCTAAGAAACCTGAAACACCAATCAGAAATAATATATGTACCTTTATGTTTATAGCAGCACTATTTACAATGGCTAAGATCTGGAGACAGCCCAAGTATCCATCAATAGATGAGTGGATAAGAAAGCAGTGGTACATATACACAATGGAATACTATGCAGCTGTAAAAAAGAAAGGTCTCTTATCCTTTGAGACAACATGGAGGGACCTGGAGAGTATTATCCTAAGCGAAACAAACTAATCAGAGAAAGACAAGTATCACATGATCTTACTTATTTGTGGAATATAATGAACAAAACAAGCTGATGAACAAAATAGACCCAGAGACATAGAAGTAGGCAGACTGACAAATGTCAGAGGAGGGGGTTGAGGGTGGAGAGATAAACCACAGAGCTTATATGTATGTATGCATAATCAATGGTCATAGACAACAATGCTGGGGGGGCACAAGATTGAGAGGAGGGTGTCACTGGGGGGAAAAGGAGAAACATCTGTAACAAGAAAAAAATTAAAAATAAAATAAAAAGAAGTTCAAAGTCATTATCCCACTAGCTTGGAAATAATTTAGCTTCCACATCTTAGTTTATATTTTTATATAATGGGAAACATTTTTACCTCAGGATCATGTGACAGTTTACAAAACAGATTATTTAATACAGAAATACTGTGTTAAATAGAAAATATTTATTTTGTATAAATTATTTCAGTTAATTCTCCTATCTACCCTATAAGGTAATTACCATTATTACTCCGATTTGGTAAGTGAAAAAACTGAGGCATAAAGTATTTGAGTGATTTCCACAAGGTCATTTAGTAAGTGGTGAGCCAGGATTTCCCTGGCAATATGATTCAGTGACTGTACTCTCAACTAGTAAATAGTACTACTTTCTGGGAAGCTTTAGTCGCCCTGTCTCCATCTCTGAGTAGAATTTGGGTCAAGATTAGTAAAGGAAGGACCTGTAGGGAAGAGACCATCTGTGAATTATTTTCATTTTCTCTGTTAAAGTAGCTAGCATTTGAACATTAATAGTTTTATATGATGTTTGTGAAAATGGAATCAAGAATTTTGATTAAAGCAGAAGTTAGTTCTTAACAGGAGTAATTAAGAAAATGTGTTTTCCTATGTTTATCCCAGTCTCTGTAATAGCATACATCATAGAATCAACAGCTTATTACCTACACTTGTCCTCTGGAAACACAGGCCATGGTACAACAGGCCGTGGGATTTCAAAATACACATGCTTCGTACTCCCACCATCCAGTCTCCTGGTGTGAAATGCACGTTTTTACTAACCTCCTGTCCTAGGTGAATCTTATATATACCGTTAGTTAAGAACCGTTGATTTAAAGGAAAAAGAAAACAAAAAGAAAAAAGGCAAAACATTCCAAGTTTTACTTATTCTGAAAATTCTCTTCCTAGTGACAAAACCTGCAATTAAATTTTATTTTCTGTTGATAATTTTCTCATATTGTAAATTATTCAGCTGTTCTACCTAGTTCTTCTTACAGAGTGTTAGGTTAAAAGTGAGAATCAACCAAGAATGCTCTGATGACTATGTTTTTCAAAAAGGGCAATGTTTGTTAAAATAGCCAGCAGTCCACAGAGACAGAATGGAGAGCTCCCTTTTTTGAACTCAGAAAATAAAGGTTTTGAACAGATCTATTGTGAGCATGTCAGTAAGTCCATTGATGTAATGAGCTGTCTTGAAATGAAGGCCTTTGAGAGATTCAGCCGAGAAATACTCTGGCTGAATCAGAGAAGCTGTTTTGGTTATTATTTGGCTTCATTTAGAAAGTATTAATAAAACAGAGGCTTAAGAATAACACCTTTCGAGTCTTCTCTTAAACATGTCTTTCTACTATTAAATATCCTCCCCCAAAGTCCTTACTGAATTTTTGTTCATACAGTTTTTAGCATGGCTTAGTGAAGTACTTGTGACCATCTAGTACCTCTGTTATTGTTACTTGAAGCAGCAAATGTCGAATTGCTGTAGTGAATATAGCAATAAGGCGATTTAATTTCCATCATTAGCCATTGCACAGTTAATCCAAATCAGAAAAACAATAAAGAGGCAAACTCGGAATGCGATCATATGAAAGAAGCCCAGATTTCTCTCACATTTGAGAATTAGTGGCTCAAAAGAAGAATACTCTTTGCTACAGCTAATCTGTAGGAATCTTGTCTGTATCAGAAACTGAAAAGCAACACAATGAGAAAAGAACCCTCCGGACAGTGTCGTGTCCTGAGAATTCCCAGTGAGACTCTTGCCATCTGCATTTTTATCAGCAGTGAACACCAACAGTATAATATCCTTAACACTTTTCACTCCCTTAATTGGATGGAAAGGAAGAAGCTGTTTATGAAAGACATGAATTGAGTTGAGATTTATAGATAAAAGTCCTAGATTTCAGGATACCTTCACTGTGGAAATCAGCCATTATACCAAAATCAGGTCTATATTTTTTCCTCTTGGTAACTGTACTGAATAACAAGAGAAAGAAGGAATGAGAGATTGCTAAGTAAGTGTCATTGTTGGGAAGGCTTACAACTCCACATTTTCTTATTTCACAGAGCAGTCACAATTTACAGCGAGTTTGAGTGAACGTGGTTTAAAATGAAGAAGTAAAACAAAAAGGGTAATTTGTCTTTCATTTCATCTTTATTTTTTGTTGTTATTTTCTAGGAAATTGTCGTGAAAATTATAACCAAAAAACTTGGGGAAAAATATCATAAGAAAAAGGGCATTGTTAAGGTAAGAACAGGAAGTTATGAATGGAATTTGTGAGAGGAGCTGGTGGGTGACCGAGTAAAGCCATTTTGGTATTCCTTAAACATCAAGTCCTAGTAGCACAAGACGTATGTCTGAGGTCTCGATGGTTCTATAAAAGGAAAGCTGAATACATAATCACTGGAGGAATAATTCATTTTCAACCATCATTTATATTTAACCTCTATTTGCTTTCTTACTGGAGCAAATAGTAGCTATGAAATCCTATTGGCACCTCTTAAACTCAGTGTGCACATCTTGCTAATCAGTAAGAAACATTCTCTTTGTTGATGATGGGCGACACAGTTGTGCCCCCAGAGTTCCAAGGAGACCTTCCATGTGTTTTGCCCTGAGTGTTTTTTGGCTGCTCTAGGATTGTAAAACTTAAAAATCACTCCAGTCATTTTTGCCCCTTTGGCTTTTCTTGAATATAGTTTCATTTCAGCACCCAGCCTGTGCACGCCTAAATTGCCCTTCCACTCTCCTTGACACGGGGTCATAGTACCCCTCATATACTTCTTAAAGTCTGGTTCCAAGATCCCAGTGTGCTTTCCAGATGAAAACCTTAACTAAGCTTTGAATTGAATTCTTTATTAAAAACCGTAGACTGAGAAATAGTAAATGGTTTCTAGAAAACTAGTGTGGTTTATAGAAGGAGTTACTTTTCTTTTGATTGGAATTTTATTTCTGTCCTTTGAAATTTGTGTTCGCGTTATCTCTTGTATAATAAAAGTGTTGATTTTACTTGACAGGAAGTAATTGACAAATATACAGCTGTTGTAAAGATGATTGACTCTGGGGACAAGCTGAAACTTGACCAGACTCATTTAGAAACAGTAATTCCAGCACCAGGTAAATCTTTATGCAGACCGTTGAATGCATATGCCATCAACAGTGATTCCATTCATTAAACCATAGTTTTTTGACATTACTTGATAGTTATAGATATGAGTTTTCTTTTTAGAAATATATACCTGCCAAAATAACTGATTCTGTTTGACTTGGTTACATAGTAGTTTGCCAGTCTTCTGAGAAAACTATTTGTGTCATGAACAAATTTTCCCTTCCTGTAGTTTTCTTTTCCCAGAAGAAAACCACATTTATATCTGGATAAATTCAGTCATATTAGGGTTATTATTAATATATTTATTTAGCTACCTGAAATAATAAAGTAAAAGTCAGTATTATTTTTTCTTTTCCTTAATTTTCTTGATTATTTGGATACTAACACAGTGTCGACTATTAATGCTGTTTGGTCAGGTTGCCTCTAATCCATTTTCATCATGGTGCCATCATTGCTGGCATAGTGATCATGTTAGTCTCTAACACTTCAATCATCAGACCCTTTATTCTTTTCCTCTACAGTAAAAACTCATTTAATGGATTAAAAAAGTGTTTTCCAATAAACTGGACTTTTAAAAGCATACAATTTGATCATTTTTAACATGTGAATACACTTTTGAAACCATCCCTATAATCAAGATAATGTTTTATCACACCCCCCCCCCCCATTTTTCTTATGTTCCTTTATAATCTAATCATTCCCTCCTCTTGTCCCCGGCAGCCATCCATCTGCTGTTTCTCTTTGTTTTTCCAGTCACCTGTTGATAGGCATTTATGTTGTTTATAGTTTTGGGTTGTTACAAATAAAACTCTGTGAACATTCACATACAAGTCTTTGTATGGACATATGATTGCTTCTTTTTTGGAAAAATGCTTAGAAATAGGATGGTTTAGTCACATATCAGGCATGTATTTAAACTTTTATGAAACTGCAAAACCATCTTTAAAAAGAGATAAAGTAAACACATTTTTTTCTGATTACTTATGTATTCTGAGCATTTCCTCCAAATGCACCATGCAGTCTGAAATTACAACATATTCCTTTGACAGATAAGTGAAAAAAATGAAGAGTCATAATGTAATAGTAATTAAAGTATCTACAAATTATACTTTAGAACATTATAGAGTTCTTAAATGATTAAGAACTTCTAAGAGAAGGGTTTTGTTTTTCATTATGTTCATTCGGTGTAATTGCATTTTGCTGGAACAAAGTAGAAGAAAAAAGTGGACCTTGTCTTTGCATTCCGAGTTTTATATTCTTTTCTATTGTAGGAAAAAGAATTCTTGTTTTAAACGGAGGCTACAGAGGAAATGAAGGTACCTTAGAATCCATCAATGAGAAGACCTTTTCAGCTACTATAGTCATTGAAACTGTAAGTATGTTTTCACAAAGATGGGAATTTTAAAATGCTTTAAAAATTTATCCTAGTTCTTTTTCATTGGATTGGTCTTTGTTTCGTTTTAGAGTTTGGCTTTTTTGTTTGCCCTCTCTCCTGTCTGGAAATCTGTAAGCTTATTTTCTCTAGTGACTCTACCATTGCTAAAGCATTTTATTTTCTGATTACCAAAAAAAATGCCATTATGTCTTAGTCCATTCGGACTGCTGTAACAAAATACCATCGACTGGACGGCTTACAAACAACAGAGATGTGTTTCTCACGGGTCGAAGGGCTAGCAGTCCAAGATCAAGGCACGGGCAGACTTGATGTCTGGAGAGGGTCTGCTTCCTTCTCGTGTGTCTGCACGTGGTGGAAGGGACAGTGGGACGCTCTGGAGTCCCTTTATAAGGACACTGACCCATTCATGAGGACCCCACTCCTGTGACCGCAGAAGCCCCTTGTCCAAATATCATCACATTGGACATCAGGTTGTAGCCTGTGAAGTTTGGGTGAGACAGATTCACTCAACAGTAACACTCATATAAAACCTGAAAAATACAGTTTAGTATAAATAATTTTTAAAATTGCCCATAATCCCCCAGCCAAATGATAATCCCCATTAATATTTTTATTTCTTCCTTTCCAGTCTTTATATTTTGTAAAACTGTCTACAATATATACAGTTTCATATTCTGACTTTTTTCCTCTCGTACCTAATATAAAACTCAATTTGGCAAAGTATAATTAATGGGGACTGTATAGTCATAGCTAATAGGGAAAAAGCCACAGAGATCAATGTTTAAAAATGTACCTCCTTTCATAAAGGACTTAAGGTAGCAAGGATCAATAAAATAATTAATTTTTAAAAGTCTGATGTATAAAAACTGCATATTGATTTAGAATTGATAATTCAGGGATAGGTCTGTGTATCAGGCAAAGAGAAACTTTAGGTGTCTGAAGTGGAGATCTGAAACATACCCTGTCCTAACTGCCTAATTCTTTCTAAAATGTGAACTTTGGATTATGTATCTTTAACTCTATATGAAAGACTTTTTTTTGTCTCCAGTACAGCAAGTGTTAATATTTTGGGGGGATAATAGACCCCCATGCAGAGTCTAATGCAAGTTCTGAACTCTCTTCAAACAGTTGCACCTAACTGCCAAATTTTATGTTTGTTGTCCTAAGGAATTCATAGGCCCTCAAACCCCTCTATGGACTGGTTAGAGAACATGTGTCTCAGGAAGGTTTTCTGGAAAAAGCATCTTCTTACTTGAGAGAAATCATATTTTAAGTAGATTAAGCTTTTTTTTTTGTCCTGTCCCTGATAATTCTAACCTATAATTCACTATGTTAAACTATAGTAGGGGGGTGGGAGGGAGTATCATCTGTCACTGAGGAATTTATCAATATTTTTTATTTATTTATTTATTTATTTTTGTTAATTCTCACCAGAGGATATTTTTCCACTGATTTTTAGATGGAGTGAAAGGGAGGGAGGGGGGTAGAGAGAGAAAGAGAGAAAAACATCAATGTGAGAGAGACACATCAATTGGTTGCCTCCTGCATGACCTCAACCGGGGCAAGGGATCGAATCTGCAACCGAGGTACTTGCCCTTGACCAGGAATCAAACCCGAGACCCTTTGGTCCTCGTCTGATGCTCTAACCACTGAGCCAAACCAGCCAGGGCTGTCAGTCTTTTTAAAAGTTAATGAGGCTTTCTTTCTGGCTCAACCAGCATAAGGTTATGGCAAATCTTACCTTTTCGTGAAAGTTTGATCCTCCACTTTTTAACTTCGTAATACTATCCAGTTTAGGTATTGCTTCAGCTCAGGGAAACACAGAACAACTAATTACTATTGAGGATATTCTAGGTTCCATCCAAATACCTTTGGTTTACAGTTCGTATAATTTATTTTTTCTTTATTGATTTTTAGAGCGAGAGGAAGGGAGAGGGAGAGAGAGATAGAAACATTGATGAGAGAGAACATCAATTGCCCCCTGCATGCCCCCCACTGGGGATTTGACCCACAACCTGGGCATGTGCCCTGACCGGGAATTGAACCAGCGACCTCTTGGTGCATGGGTCAACACTCAACCACTGAGCCACACTGGCTGCGCTATAGTTGTATGATTTTTAAGAAGCACTTTCTTCCCTTCCTCACTGTACCCCCAGTTTCACCTTTCTTTCTCATGCTTTAGTTGCTTATAGCCCTGTACTGAGATAAAAACCTGTGAGGAAATCCACATAAAAAGCTTCTCTGGTTGATTGCAAAGCAGCACTTACCTTTGAAAGAAGAAACTCACCCTGGCCAGTTTGGCTCAGCGGTTAGAGCATCTGCCTGCGGTCCAGAGAAACCGGGTTTGGTTCCTGCTAAGGGCACGTACCTCGGTTGCAGTTTGTCCCCGGCCCTGGTTGGGTCATGCGGGTGGCAGCCACTCGATGTGTCCCTTTCACGTCGATGTTTCTCTCTCCCTCTCCCACTCTATCTGAACAAAAAATGGAAGAATGTCCTCGGGTGAGGATAAAAAAAAAAACTTGCCTTCTAATTTTTTGGTGTTTTCTTTTTCTTTTGCAGTCTGGTCCCCTGAAAAAGAAATCAGTGTTTTTCTGTGTCTGTCTCTCTGTGTCCTCATGTTTTCTTCAAGTCACTGCCATGAAACATGTGAACTTTTCACATGATCTCCCCTACTATTTTTACCATTTCTGGAATCTTAAATTATAGAATCAGTATTATAATATTTAAAACATTTATTATTTTTGCTCATTATGAATAATTTTACATATAAATTAAGTAGATTTTTAAAAAGCTAACAAAGCGTTCCCAAAAGAGCCTCAGTCTTTTAACTATTTGCCTAATTAACCCAAATACCTGTCTCATTTTTATACCCCAGCTTTGTAGTTTTTATCATAAAAGTGTAATTGCCCTGGCCAGTTCTGGTCAGTGGTTAGAGCATTGGCCCAAGAACCAATGAGCCGCGGGTTTGATTCTGGCCAAGGGCATATACCTTTGTTGCTGTTGGTCCCCAGCCCTGGTTAGGGTTGTGTGGGAGGCAGCCAGTCCATGTGTCTCTCCGTGTCAATGTTTGTCTCTCTCTTCCTTTCTCCCTCCCTCCTTTCTACTCTGTCTGAAGATAAATAGAAAAAAAAACACCTCCTGTGAGGATTTAAAAATAAAAAGCGTAATTGACTATCAGCCTTTAAATTTGATAATTAAAGATTCAACCTGTATCATCCTTTATATGGGAGCTTATTTTTAAATTTGATAATTAAAGGTTCAACCTGGATCATCCTTTATATGGGAGCTTATTTCCTTTAAATACAATCATTATTATATATAAAAAGAATGGCATTTTAAAAAGCATTTTAGCCCTGGCTGGTTTTGCTCAGTGGTTAGAGTGTCAGCCGAGAACCAGAGAGTCTCGGGTTTGGTTCCCAATAAGGGCACGGACCTCAGCTGCAGTTTGTCCCTGGCCCCAGCTGGGGTCATGTGGGTGGTGACCACTTGGTGTCTCTCTCACAGAAATGTTTCTCTTTCTCTCTCTCTTCCCCCCTCTCTCCCTCCCGCTCTATCTGAAGATAAATGCAAAAATGTACTCGGGTGAGGATAAAAATGAATGAATGAATGAATGAGTAAATAAATAAATAAATAAGCAAGCAAGCATTTTAAAGGAAGGCATGGGTCTTGATAAAATAAAATGTCAGTTCGGGGTTGGTGTCTTTATCACCACCACCATCATTTTATATTTTGTAAGGGAAAGGACCAACTTTTAAATTTTAACCAAAAGGTTTAACAGTGAGTTGAAAATTATGGAGCTCATGCTCATGTTATGTTCCAGGTCTTGTTCTAAGCACGTAGTATGTATTGACTCATTTATATATTCTAACAACCTGTAGGGACTATTATTACTGCCTTGGATAACAAGGCACAGAGTAGTTAGATCACTTGCTGAGGATGGATTTGAATTTGGGCTGTCTGGGTCCAGAGCCCATTTTTTAAGTCTCTGTTCCCAGATTGTGTCAGCTTTTATGACACAGGTACTTTCATTATCTAGTTTTCCCCTTCCTGTTTTTGCTGTGTATGAAGAGAAGATGAAAATATACAAACATGTTTGAGTATCTGTATTACTTAAAATAATGATATTTGCTATTAAAACAAAACAAAAACACCAAACCCTTCAAATTGATAATGGTAAAAATATAATAGAAGTTTACTTTTCATTCTAAAAGTCCAGAGGTGATTTGTGAGGCCATGGCCCTTCTAACTTGTGGCTTTGCCATCTTCAGTAAGTGGCTTTTTTTCAGTTGTGTTTGCTTCAGGCAGACTAAGTAGAGCACTGGATTACAGGTGGAAGGAGCATGGCCTGGGCCTGGAAATGGCTTGCATCCCTTCTGTTCACTTCTGTTCACTTCCCTGGTCTGGAGCTCCACCTTATGGCCACACCCAGCCACACAGGGAGCTAGGACATCTCACTATCCAGGAGGCACAGCAGATACTGAACAGCTAGCAGGTGTTGCCACAGGATCTAGTGATGACATGATTCAAATATCTTTGAAGAAAATTGTGTTAGTTCTTAATGAGAATTCCATAGAATGTTTTTAAAGTTCACAGACATACAGAAGTGTTAGTTACCTGATTTTTGGGATGTGGAAAAGGCAAATTTATATTCCTAATTGTAGTGTCATTTTCCTTTCTTTGAAGTACATGTGTATTTTTAACCTTTTCTTCAATTATTTTAATTTATAGGGCCCTTTAAAAGGACGCAGAGTCGAAGGAATTCAGTATGAAGACATCTCTAAACTTGCTTGAGTTTGAAAATTTGTTAACATATTAAAAATCCTAAAGCATCAAATTGGTGTTTGCCAAGGCACTATAAGACTCTACTGTGTTAGGGTATTTCTTTTGTATAAAACAAATGGATTTATTTAAATATTACTGTACAGTTGTTTAGCTAAACTTATAGAAAATCTAATTATGTCTCATGAAGTATCAGAACTATGTAAATTTGTTCTTATTTTTGTTTTCTTTATAATTCCTTGATTTTAAAATTTTTCATTAAAAGAATATTGTGAAGTGTTTTATATAAAACAATTTAGAATCATAATTATAGGAAATTCTTCATATATTCTCATTTTATATTTTTAGTAGTAAAGTAGTAATGAACTATAAATATATTTTTAAAAGTCAAACTAAATGTAATAGCTTTATTGACATATAATTCATACACCATATAGTATCGCTCATTTACAGTTCACAGTTTCAGTGGTTTTTAATATATTTATAGAGTGGTACAACCATCACCACTGTCTAATTTTAGAACATTTTTATCACCCCCCAAATAAACCCTGTACCCATAGTTACTCCCTATTTCCCCTCTTTTTCCAGCCCCTGGCAGCCACTTTTTTACTTTCTGTCTCTAAGGATTGGCCCATTATGGACATTTCGGATAAATAGAATCATACAATATGTGGTGTTTTGACTAGCTTCTTTGACGCAGCATAATGTTTACAAGGTTTATTCATGTTGTGGCATGTTTCAGTATTTCATTCCTTTTTATTGCTGAACAGTATTCCATTGTATGGATATACCACACTTTTTTTTTTTTAGTATATTTTTATTGATTTTTGAGAGGGAGAGAGAGAGAAACCTTGATGAGAGAGAAGCATCAACATCCATCGACTGCCTCCTGTCTGCCCCCTAGTGGGGATTGAGCCTACAACCTGGGCATGTTCCCTGACCGGGAATGGAACTGGCAACCTCTTGGTGCATGGTCAGCACTCATCCACTGAGCCACACCAGCCTGTTTTAATCCATTCATAAGTTGATGGACATTTTGGTTGTTCTGGCTATTATGAATAATGCTTCTATGAACATTTGTGTACAAGATTCCTTATGAACATTTCAATTCCTAGGAGTAGAGTTGCTGAGTCACATTGTAACTCATATGATACCGTGTTGAACATTTTATGGAACTGCCAGACTGTTCCAAAGTGGCCACGCCATTTTACAGACCCACCAACAATATTGAACTATACATTTTTAAGTAAGTAGAGCAGTATGTTACATAGGGATGCAAAAGACAGGAGACCCACCTCACACTTATTTATGTACACAAAAAGAAGAAAGAAAGGAAATTTATAGTGCATGCAGCTGAAAAGAAGCAGTGGGATTCAGTGTGAACAGCCTGGTAATGGCTGGGTCACACTGGGTCTTTGGACTCACTTCTGATTGAGATAAGGCTGAAGAGAAGAAGCACTTTCTATGATATTAGGTAATTATTTTTATTTATTTATTTTAAGCCTCACCTGAGGACATTTTTGCATTTATCTTCAGGTAGAGCGGAGGGCGAGAGGGAAGGAGAGATAGAGAAACATGGATGTGAGAGAGAGACATCAAGTGGTCACCACCCACACGACCACAACCAGGGCCAGGGACAAACTGCAACTGAGGTACATGCACTTAGTGGAAACTGAACCCTGGACTCTCTGGTCCACAGGCCAACACTCCAACTGCTGAGCCAAACCGTCCAGGGCTTAAGTAAGTCTTTAAAGCATGTAGGATGATTGGAATAAGATCTCAGACTAGTAGGTACTAAAATAACTCCTGATTCATCGTTCATTTTTACTGTACATTGAGATACTCTTTAATTCTATTTGATTTATTGTTTTGGATTGCCAGGTTTCCAACTCTAAGAAACCTTGTTTAATTTTTAGTATATTAAAAACACAGATTTTTATGGCAGGAATGATCTGAACCAAGACTCTGGTTTTTCTGAAACATGGGCTCTCGTTTTCCTGATAATAAGGCATATATGTATATATATACACACACACACACATAAATGGTTTAATGGAAACTGTTCAGATTGATACTTAGGAGAAGCTTTGAAGACAGACTACATACATGCTAAAGATAGTTAATATATCTGACAAATACCAGCCCTGTAATACCCGGCTCTATACAAAATTAAGTATTGATCAATTATCAGTGGGTTGCAAGGTGCTCCACAAAATGAGCAAATAATCTAGGCAATTGTCAAGTTTTCCTTCATCACTGACAGCATAACACTTCCAGAAACTAATCAAGAGGTAGACAGTGGAATAGTTCCTTCCTTTCCAACGATTCCCATTAATTTGGTTCCTTTGGAATTCAAAATTGATTATTCATTTGTAATTCAAAATTAATTATATAGAGAAGGCATATTTCTGGTCTCAAGAGAAACATATGAACCATATTAATAAGGTTATTTTTATAGGCAATGAATTTCAAAACACCAGCTATTAATAATTGTGATAATTTGAAAAACATGGATTTGGTTTTAAATCTAGTTGCTTTTGATAGGACTCTTGCTCAACACCCTGCATGTAAATACACACCCTAACATTTTCACCATTTTAAAAACAGCATATTTAAAATACTAGGAATCAGATTAAACTTACCCAAAGCTAGAAGTTTTATTATTTTTTATTTGTTTATTTTTGTTAATCCTCACCTGAGGATATTTTTTTCCATTGATTTTTAAAGATAGTGGAAGGGAGGGAGGAAAGGAGAGAGAATGTGAGAGACATCGATTGGTTGCCTCCCCCACACACCTCGACCTGGACTGGGGATCAAACCGGCAACCCAGGTACATGCTGTTAACTGGGTATCAAACCCGTGACCCTTTGGTGTGCAGGCCGACACTCTAACCACTGAACCACACCGGCTGGGCAAGTGGCATTACTCTTAGGAACTGCTTAACTACAAACAAAATCAAAGGTCCACAAGGAGTACTACTAAGGAGGGTTCTGTGTTCAAGATCTATTGAATCTGTGTGAAACTTGTTGCTTCGCAGACAGGGGTTTCCAGGGCATTTGGAACTGATTCTCTCGGAAGTCGCAATAACACTGACAGCCATCTGACATAATGTCCTGTGCAGGTTTAAATATGTGAAGAATTTGAGAGCAACAAAGTCTCCAAGGTGATCTTAGAAGAATGTCAGGGAGGCAGGACTGTTACAGGATTATAATTTAATAAAAAGGACACCTACCCAATCGCATTTTAACTTATTTGGAGAAGAGCTGGCTTAACAGAATGAGGTTGGTCAACTAAGGCCTTGTGATGGCTCATTTTATGTGTCAATTTAGACGGGGCCGCGAGGTGCCACAGAGTTGGTCAAACATTTCACTGGGTGTGTCCATGAGGGTGTTTTGGGTGAAATTTACATTTATAAGGTGGACTGAATAGAACAGCTTGCCCTCTTTAATATGGGTCAGCCCCATCCAATCAGTTGAAGGTCTGAACAGAACAAACAACTGATCCTCCCCCAACTGGCTGCCTTTGGAATTCATCTGCAACATTGGTTCTTCCTGCATAATGGCCTTTGCACCAGAATATCGGTTTTCCCTGGGTCTCCTGCACCACTGGCTCAACTTGCAGATTTGGGACTATCGACCTTTATAATTATGTGAGCGAATTCTTTATAATATATATGAAAAGTCAGTGTTCTTATTCCCTGTTCACCATATAACCTCGAAACTGAATCTCCCACATAACTGAACATAAAAATGTACTCAACCTGCAAAGTTGAGGGCCTGACAGTTAACAGTGAAATCGCAGTAAATGTGGGAGGTAGGGCTCTGCCTGGATGCCAGCTAGACCTGCCGAAGCAGCTTTTCTTTGCGTTGCCTTGCTGAACACACCTTAGCATCTGAAGATGCAACAAAATCCTACATCTTCTTTGCAAAGCATTTATTTTCTTCATATGTGTGAATATCTGGCTAGATTTTTAAATTATTCAAACTGAAGAATAACTGCAAAAGAGGCAGGGGGAAAATGTATATTTATACATTTGATTTCCAAAACTGAACACCGTTAAGGCCATTTGAGGAAGCTGTAGAGTTGAGGCACAAAGTAATCCTTGTAGTGTCCATCGATGAAACCCTTCCCACTGTTGTGCACAAACCAACAGGGAACATCTGTTCCAAACACTGTGTCTGTTCGGTAGTCTTTCTGTAGGCCTCTGCGAGGAAAATGGGCATACGGTTAGGGCACAGACCCTGCATATCTTGAAAGGAGACACACTCTTCCCCCTTGCTGTCTTTGTGCCCCTTCCGCCACCTTATCTGAACCCACCTGTCCCCACTCCCCAAGTCATCTGAGTCTGGGCTTAGTGTGTCCTCACTGAGACTGGCCAACTTGGACTTTTCCAACAAGGTAAAGAGTGAAAATCAACTTAGCAATGGAAGGAAGGCAGGAATACAACTCCAAAGTATTGTGGGCTTAACCTCACATACTCAAAAAGAAGGTTCTAGCTTGAATATAAAAATACACATTCTCTAGCATGATGGCTTGTGGGTATTTTTACAATTTCCTCCTACGATCAGCTTTTTCAGTTATCCAGCTTGTGACCATAGGGCTTCTAATGTATAAAGGCGAGAACAACAGGTTAGTTAGTCTTGGCATTTCATGCACATTCTTCTACACGCAGTCATCGTTTTCATCTGAGATGGAAGAGCTGCAGTGCCCTTGTGCAAATGCTATGTACGTGCCTGTTGCTGATGAATTGTTCCGTTTGACACAGGTAATGCTGTGTGAGTCCAGTCCGAGTAGGGGCCCTTTTTTGTCACTGTCATCTGCGTCTGAGGCTTACCTGGTGACAAGCAACTTATGTCCTTTCACCTCCATGCTCGCCTCTGGCTTCTCAGGGTCCTTCCCGGGCCGCTCATTGAAGATGTGTATCTGTGGCTCATGCATGAACTGGCCTAGTGAGATCAAGTCCAGACAGTGATTTACATGTCTCCCGGGAGTAAAATAAAAGAACAGGCTGGTCATTGGATCCAAGCTACCAGTTGGTCCTCCCTCCAGAATTTCTGGGGTAGAAAGACGTACTGAGAGGGAAAGAGCAGCAATGGGAAAGAAGATCCTTCCTGAGAGCGAATCCATGCTCACCCTGTGGTCACATTACATATGAGGCTGA